CTGCTGCGCCGCAAAATTCGCATTTTGTCGCCTGCTGCTTCGCATCGTATTTGTCGATATCCATCGGTTCGGTGAACGTGGGGGGTGCCGATCGCTCCGTGCCGAATGTACGGTTCGGCGTGAAGCGTCGTGTTTCGGGTTGACTTCGAGTCAGCGCGTCGTATCGCTCGGCAGCACGCACGATGTCTCGGTAGCTGTTGTAATTCGCCGCAATCACCTGCCGCCGAATCTCCATTTTTAATCCTTCGGTGTACGCCTGGATTTTTTCGCCTTCGGTCAGGTCGGTGATGCGGCTGAACAGTAACTCCATCTGCTGCGTGTACTGTGTTACACTACTGTATTGCTTGTGTCGGTGTATCTGCTGCCGCGCCATGTAGGTTGTATTAATTGGTTCGAAACGCTCGATTAAATCTGCCCGAAACTGCTGCCACGTTTTCTCCCCGCGGGCTACGTCGGTGTAGTAAATCCATTCGAGAGCCGGTCCACGTAACAGTGTCGCTGCGAGCCGAATCCTTGCTGCGTCGTGTTGCAGGGTCGAACAGCCAATGGCCTCGAAGTAAATTTCGAGGGTGGCCACGAATCGCCGGACGTCGGATCCCTTCGCGCTTGGATCGAACGCCTCCGGGAGCCTCAGTCGTGCTGCTTCGAGGTTCGGCGACAGTGGTGCCATTGGTCCGGGAAATGTCGGTGTCGCCACTGCTGCTGGAGTTGTCGGTGCTGTAGCCGTTGTGGTCGCTGCTGCTGCGGTGGCGAACCCTGGTTGGCTTGTCAGAAAAGCCTCGAGTCGACGAAGCGTCGCCTGCGTCTGCTCCATGTCGGTGCGGAGGCTCGCAATGTCGCTCGTAGTCGCGTAGTTGTCGCCTTGGCCCTCCATTTGGTGATTTACAGGAAGATGCGCGACGAAAATAATCGAGTTCTAGGTGCTGGTCGACTTACTGCAAGTCAAATTGACTGTAGAATCGACGAGCGCGAATTCTGTAGGTTGCGTAAATCTCCCTTAGGCGAAATTCGAAGTGTGGCCACAACACTAAGTGTGGCTCCTTGACGCTCGAAGTTTAAAAAACGAGTGAAACCAGATTGCGATGCGAACAACCTTGAAGCCAGCCCATTTCCTGAACAGTCCCAGCTTCTCTGAGGTTCCAGATCTTGGCCGTTGAGGAGAAATCGATCCGACGCTCCAAATTCCAACTTTTTTGGGCGAAATTCTCTGGGCCGTTGAGATGAAGCTCGATCGAACGGTCGAAACTCCAACCTTTCCACCAGTAAATCTGAGGGGTGTTCGAAAACCGAATCGAGGGGGACTTAGAAAAATTGCACGGAACTGGTTTTACATACCCGTATCGGCGCTTTCGTCGTCGCCCCCGCGGTTTTTAAAGGCGGGAACTAAGCGGTTGAAGACCTCGCGTGTAAACCCGCTCTGATTACCAAGTGTGAGGATCTGGGATCGAGCTCAGAAAAGATGATTCAAATTGAATTGAATTTGTCGAAATATATTTGTCATGTTTTATAACTGCTTGTAGTTGTAGTTAGTGTAGTTATTTAAACTGTTGTTGGTGGTGCACCTTATTTGGTTTCTATGCTATATGTACCCTTGAACCTATAGTGAAACCATCACTTTTCTCCAATTCCTCTCTCAACTCACTCGATACCTCGCCTAGGGTAAAACCCACTCGACACCTTAGTTCGGGCCTAGGCTACTAAGCCTAGGCCCTTCCTTTCAACTTACCTCATATTTGACATGTTATCGGAGCTAATTACGACCTGGCCTATGGGCCCGCCCTACACTTCCGCTATGATTTTTCGGTCGCGCGCCTAGGGCGCGTGACGATTTTTACCTTGTCCCGCCCACGGGTGTGTAACTCCTACTCTGCCCGTCGCGCGCCCCGTGGCACGCGACGGTGCCCTTCAACTGCCCATCGTGCGCCCCGTGGCACACGATGGTGCCCTGCTCGTCGTGCGCCCCTAGGCACACGATCGGGCCCTCTTTCTTCTCTTACCCGTCGTGCGCCCCGTGGCTCTGGCACGCGACGGGCCTTTCCGCCCCTGCTCTCCCTGAAGCCGCCCCTGGCCCATCTGCACCGACACCTTTTCTCCGCTCTGCGGCTTTCTTCCCGCCCACCCCCTCCTCCTTTGTCTCCCTGCAGCCGTGGGGAGGAGGGTATGGGGGTGGAGGGTGTTGGAGTGTTGGGTCACCTCTCTCCCTTCCCCTCCTCCTTCTTTCAGTCCCACCGCTGCAGCTGCCGCTGGGGGGGGAGGGTGTGAGGATGTGGGGGAGCAGGGGGAGTGGTACCGGGGTGGCGGGTGTGAGGCAACATGCAGCCGTCCCTCCACCACTCCTCACTTCCCCCCCTTCTCTGCTGCTCTTGCAGCAGTGTGGGGGAGGGGAAGGAGGAGGGTGAGGAGATGGAAGGGGTACCTGCTGTTGCTTGCTATTCTTTTGAATGGCGTAACTACATATCTACCTACAAGCATTATGGGGGCGTGTCGAAATATATTTGTCATGTTTTATAACTGCTTGTAGTTGTAGTTAGTGTAGTTATTTAAACTGTTGTTGGTGGTGCACCTTATTTGGTTTCTATGCTATATGTACCCTTGAACCTATAGTGAAACCATCACTTTTCTCCAATTCCTCTCTCAACTCACTCGATACCTCGCCTAGGGTAAAACCCACTCGACACCTTAGTTCGGGCCTAGGCTACTAAGCCTAGGCCCTTCCCTTCAACTTACCTCATATTTGACAGAATTGAATGTCCACGTGGGTACAACACGAGGCTATATATAGGCTCGACACAAGGCCCCATAACCAGGTGTTACGCGAAGGTTCCGCGGGTCGCGAAGCGTCCCGAACAGATCCTTACCGAATTCGGTAGAAGGCAATTCGGTGGCAACCGAAAAGCCAGAATTTGGTGCACGCAACCTAGCTCGGTGCTATAACTATAATAAAATATAGGAAAGCACCTAGCCTAGGAAATCAAGCAATTCATGCATGCATATGATTATCCTATGCTAGAAATAGCATGATAAAGTAGAGGCAAGCAAGCATAGCTGGCATAAGCCGTCATACTCTCACACCAACCCAACCTCGAGTTTTTCAAAAGGGGTTCGTCAAACTCGCACCGATTCCATTTCCTCCCGACAGAGGGAGAGATTCGAGAAGACCTCGCCTGAATCCCTCCGCGGAAACCCGTTCGCCCCTGCGGGTTTTCCTCTGAGGGATTTTCGTTTTCCCTCTGTCGCGTGGCGGGGCACGCGAGGGGCGGGAGCCACCCCCCCCCTCCCGCCCGAAAACCGGCACCCCCAGCTGGCGCCAGCTGCCGATGACGCCAGCTGCCCGCGCCCTCGAGCTGGCAATGGTCCCCCTCCCAACCGAGCCCAACCCCTCGCTCGGTGCGTGGACGGGTTCCGTCCGGTAACCCACGCCGAGCGACGCATCGCCGACGGAACCAGTCCGCGAAATTTCGCCGGCCAGACGAAATCGACGCCCATCTGCGCCGCGCTCCACCGCTCTCGCCCTCGACGGGCCCGTTTCGTTCAAGCCGCTCGATCTTGGTGACGTGTCGAAGGCCCCCTCCCGAACCTTGGAAGGGGCCTTTCGACTGCATGCAAGGCGGCCCACCCCATGCTACCAACAACCAGGTTTCACGTCGAGGCCAATAGGGCCCCGCCAGCCTCCGCGAAAAGCTCCTCCCTCCTCCTCCCGCGTCTCGGAAAGCGCCCTGCCTCCTCGCCCTTGAACCCCCCTGGTCCGTCGCGGTGGGAGGGATGGCAAACAGCTAATACCCTGCGTCCGGTCTCATTTTGTTGATGTTTCCGATTTTTACTTCCCTACTTCCTAGTCCCTGCTAGTTCCCAACTCCCCTGCGCGCCCGCCCTCTCCACTGCTAGGCCTGACATGGCTACGGGCTCCGCCTCCGTACCCGTCATGAACGAGGCGACGGTTCGACGCGGCCTCATCCTTAGTGCAGGCGGGGTCGAGGTGGAGGTGTACGAGGACCAGCTGAATGCGATTAGAGAGGCGCCAAAAGGGGAGCTCGACGAGAGCATGATGGTCGCAGGCGTCGTGTACGTGTCCTGTCGAACATTTTCGGTTTGCCATGTTTGCCATTTTCGCTGACATTGCCTTAGCTTTCCGTGCAGCCTGTTTTGTCATGAGCTGCTATCCGTCGAGCAGCTCCCCAAGGTGTCGATCGTGACTCCAGCGCGTGCGCGTGAAGAGATGGCCCGTCCCACCCCGGTCGCTTTTGCGAACAACCACCTTGACGGCCTCCTCGGCAAGCAAGTGGTTTTCGTTCTGCTGCGGACACCGTGAGTTCGACACTCTCCCGTCGCCTTGCGTGCTCCGTCTCTAGCCCTGAACCCATTCTCACGTGCATTAGCTCTGCATGCAGAGTGAGTGTGCCTCCGTTCTCCCACTCGAGCCTGTTTGTGGTATCGCGCCCCGACGATCTGCTGGCTCCGAGGCACCGTGGCAGTCGAACTCGAATAATGCACTTCGATTCGAAAGACAAGTTTCCCGATATGAACCACCAATCTTCTCTGGCGCAAGAAGTTTTCGTGTGAGTGACACCTTTGCCACCCTGCTGTCGAGCTGCTGTTCTCGACAATCTTACTCTTCTGTCCGCTGCGTCGTAGGTGGATGAAGAAGCAGCTTCGCGCCGAGTACGCGATGACCCACCAGGCTCTGACTGAGGACGACCAAGAAGTGTTGAACGTGATGGACCTTCGTCTGGAGTTGAACAAGGATTTCGACCATCTGGTAAGCTCTCCTTAGACCACCAGCGTTTTCGTCGAGCATGTGCTTTGTCGCTTACGTATGTTTTGTACCCGTCGCATACGACGACGGCCTTGTCGAGCCCCTATGAAAACAGCGCGGCAGCTCGTGTCGTGCATGGGGTGCGCCGGATTCTGTCGAAATGGGACGACTTCATCCTACAGCCTCGAAAGGGCGAACTCGTGCATCTAGGGAGAACGAACCCTGCCCGGGTGTGCTTCCGTTGTTCATGGTCAAGCTGTTTTCGAGAAAGATCGACCAGGTGGTGGAGGGAGCAGGTGTGGGAGGGGGTGCCGGCCACGAGGGAGGAGGCGAGAAGACGGGACGCGTCGTGATTGAGTACAACGTCGAGGAGGAGGAGGAGATCGAGGAGGATACATCGAGGCAGGCTCAGCACGGGGCGAGCGGCCCGGGCGGCGATGCGAACCAGGACGAGGACTCGAGCTTGGGATCGAGCTCCGGCTCAAGCTCGAGCGATGAGTCGGTCGAGGACGACGGCGAGGGCGCCGGACATAGAACGGAGCGTACGGGGGAGCACGGAGTGGCGCTCGGGGAGCGGGTGGACGAGCGAGTAGAGCTTATCGAGCAGCAGGCGACAGGGGAAACTAAGGCTGTCGAGGAGCAGGAGGACGCCGTCGAGAAGCAACTCAAGCAGGTCGAGGAGCGGCTGGTTGCTGCGGTGCTAAAGGGTTTCGAGAAAGCCATCATGGAGGACATGTTCTGCTCCACCCTCCCACCCGAGACCATGAAGGAGCTGAAGGACATTGTGAGGGAAGGCTACCATGAAGCCGAAGCAGGGAGGTTGGAAGTCCTCACCGAAGCGATGGCGAGAGGTTTTCAGCACTCGGCGGGCCCGTCGACGAGGTCGCGTCAGGAGGGTGTGGGAGGGGTTCGCAGCGGGGCTGAGCCTCGAGGTCACGAGCGGTCGGTTCCTCCGTCTTCTTCGCTGGGAGGACATGTCGGCAGCCCGGTTGGATCCCCACCGGCGCGTGGCCGTCATCTCGTCGCCAAGCCCGTCGAGGAAGTCATCGTACTCGACCAGTCGGCCCTCCCGAAGACCTCAATAGCGCCTCCGATCGATCCACCTGATGTGTTTTCTTCGATGCGGGACATGCTGCAAGGCCTGGGGAAAACGGGTGGGAAAGGAGTGGTCGCGGGGGAGAAAAGTGGTGCCCCGAACGAGCACGTCGCCTCGACCGAGAACAGAGCCCTAGGAATGAGAGGTGCCTCTACCCCGTCAGGCGGCGGTGCGGGGAAAGGAGCGGGAGAAGCAAGCGCTGGGTTGCTGTCGAAGACTAAAGCGGCATCAGCTGCGCACGGCGGTGGTGCTGGCCTTGCTGTCGGGCTTGTGGGAAATTGGGCGTCTTCCTCAACCCCTCCAGTTGCTCCTGTCGCCGCTGCTTCGTCCCTAGGCAACGTTTGCCTTAGCGATCCGGGCTCCCCTTCAACGTCGAAGAAGAAGCCGGCTGCGATGAAGTCGTCGAAGCGCGCTGCACACGTGACAGAGAGCCTTCACGTGGTGGAGCTGGCCAGCGTCCCTGGTCAGGCGCCTGTCGAGAAGACCTCTATTGTCGTTGCTGCTCGATAGGAAAAGGCGAAGAAGGCCAGGGTCACGGGTCACACCCCACCTCCTCGACCGGACGACCAAGGCAAGACGAGAGGCTGCAAACGTCCCTTCAAAGGACCGGGTTTCGGGTTGCGGAAGGGGAAGCCGGTTTCCGAGCCGACCGTCGGCGGGAGGAAGCGGTTCCTTGGCACTTTTGAATCAGAGAAGGACCAGAAGTTCTGTACGGCCGTCTGCTGACGCGTGTACTTCCCCAACGTTGTCCTTACGGAGTACGAAGGGTACACGGCGCAGGATGAGGAGGACTGGAAGGTCTACCTCGATGCGGCCGCAGAAATGCCAACCGGCGTTTGGAGCGTGGCGCAAGAACAAGGGGAATGTCGTTTCGACGAAGAAGTCCTGTCGGAGTCATGTTGCTAGACATTGCTGTCGAATTCATGCTGTTTTGGTGAATTGTCGAACACCTGCTGTTTTGCGGTGAATGTGCTGTCGGTCGAATTCTGGCCTCTTGACTAACGCATTTCTTGCGATGTGCAGTTACCTGTCGCTGTTGGCGACGGCAAAAAAGGAAGTGAAAGCTGGAACCGAGAGGGGAATTGCGCTGTGCGTTGCGATTGGTAAGGTCGCGACGCTTGGCCTGAAGCACGGGAATCTGATTTACCCGGTCCCGAAGGGCATGGCGGCGACACCGCACATGATGGCCATCGCAGCAACTGTGGCGAGCTTGTGGGCGGCCTGCAGGAAGTTGTCGAGGGAGGATATTAAGAAGGATGCCCTAGCTGCCGCAAACGCGGCGATCTACGCCCCGGAGACAGCAAAGAAGGCTTGTGTGGTTGCCATGTCCGCACTCGTGTCCATACTTTTGCACGTCGGCAAGACGTTCCCGGCGAAGCAGTGGCCGGATCACCTGTATTCGTCGGCTGTCGAAGGTCTCGGCTCGACGGACGCCATACTGCTGCAGATGCTGCGCGTGGCAGCACAGGTCTGTACGCAATGGTGCTGCTGTCGAGCTGCTGCCCGCTTGCTGGAGGACGTGGGCTATGGCCGCCTGGCTATGCCAGAAGAAAAGAGCAAGGCGAAGCAGGGCGACGAGGATGCAGCTGAGACGGAAACGGGCGGGCAAGGGGAGTAGTCTAGGCGGGCACTTTGCGTGGGGGTGTTTGCTATTCTCGACAGTTGTGTTTGTTGTTTCCAAAGTTTAATAATGTTGCATGGATCTTGACTTTCCGTTTGCGATAATGCTCAGAAGGTTCATACAAGCGAGATGGTCGGTCAGTAATGAGTGTGGAAAATAGAACGAGAATGAATGAACTATGACTGAAGCCTACACAACAAAAATAGACTATGCCGAAAATAACAAAACCCTAATTGGGTTGTACCCCTTATGGGATACCCCACTGTAGCCTACACAACAGCATAAGCTACATATATGTTCTGACACACCCCCATAGGCAAAGTGGGGGAGAACAAGGGGTCACAAGACCAGTCAAGCAAAGCAAAGCAAAGCTCAGGGTGGATCACAAAGTCACCACACAGTCCGAGCACAAGAGCAAGGCCACAAGGCCAGTTCACATGCAAGAGTACACACATATATATATAAAGCTAGACAAGCAAGAGCAGGTATATATATGTGACAGTACAAGTAAAGTCAAGAGGAGAGCAAGTGAGGCAAGACAGGCACAAGACCCAGCTGGGTGCAGAAGCGCTAATGGTCACAAGGCGCGAGTGCCTTGGTGAACACATCAGCAGTGTTGGCCTCAGAGGCCACGTACGCAAGCCGCAACTGTCCACGCTGCTGTAGCTCACGAGCAAGGAAGTAGCGAAGAGCAATGTGCTTCGTTCTGTGCTCCAGACGCTGCTCTCAACACAAGGCCAGCATGGCCTTGTTGTCTACGTACAGCACTGGAGGAAAACGAGGCGGCTCTCCAAGGTCAGTCAGCAGGTAGGTGAGCCAGCGAAGCTCCTGTGCAGCCATGGCCCCTGCGTAGATCTCCGCCTCACAACTCGAGCTGAGAACCGAAGACGAGCGAGTAGCCCGCCACGAGACAGAGCCGGAGCCAAGGCTGAAGGTGTAACCCTGTGACGACCGCTGCGTAGCCTGGTCGTCAGCCCAAGAAGCGTCCGCGTGACCTGTAAGTACCACTGGACTCCGCCCTCCAAGCACTAGCCCCATGCCCGACGTACTGCACAGGTAGCGCAATACCCTCTTCGCTGCAGCCATGTGCTCTGGTCGGTGTCTCCCAGGAGCAACATAGCGTGCAAGAATGCTAAGAGGGTATGCAAGGTCAGGTCGTGTGCAGGTCATCAGGTACATGAGGCAGCCAACAAGCTCTGGGTACGGGCCACTCGACTCTACGGACTCATCCGAAGGCAGAGCTGAGAGCGAGTGACGAGTAGACAGAGGAGTGGCCTGAGGCGAGGAATACGTGAAGCCGAAGCGCTGAAGGACCTGCTGCACCATGTGTGACAGAGTCAAGGTAATGGTGCGGCGTGCTCTGTCCCGAGTGATCTGCAAGCCAAGGTAGCTGCGCAGTTCACCCAGGTCTGTGCACGTGTGTCTCTTCAGCAGCTCGGACTTCACGTAGGCGAGTCCAGCAGTGTCCGCTGTGGCAAAGACCAAGTCGTCGACGTACACGAGGATGTAGAACGGCGGCAGTGAAGTGTCGGTGCGCAGAAACAGCGACGGGTCAGCAGTAGAAGGAGCAAACCCAAGGGCCGCAAGCGTAGTCCTCAGAGTGTCGTGCCACTCACGTGGTGCCTGGCGGAGACCGTAGACTGGCCGTCGGAGGCTCCACTGGGTGCCAGGAGGGAAAGTCCCAGTGAAGCCAGGTGGACGGCGCAGCCAGATCTCCTCGTGCGGGCTCCCCTGCAAGAACGCTGTACTGAAGTTGAGAGAGTGAAGCTCGTAGTCGCGCTGAGCGGCTATGTGCACCAGCACCCGAAGAGTGGTCATCTTCGGGGTGGGAGAGAAGGTCTGAAAGTAGTCAACTCCCTGCCGCTGACTGAAGCCACGAGCCACGTACCGCGCCTTGAAGACAGGTGGAGAGCCTGGCGGCCGCTTCACCCTGAAGATCCACATGCCACTGACGATGTTCGCCCCAGGAGGTGGAGCCGCGTCAACGTAGGTGCCTGTGGACTTCCAGGAAGCCATCTCTGCATCCATAGCTGCCTGCCACTGAGAGGAGTAGGGACCCTCTACGGCCTCCGCGTAAGAGCGCAGAGTCGGGATGTCTAGTGCATCCGGGTCTCCCTCAGGGGCAAGCAGTACAGACGCGAGATGAGGTGAAGCAGCAGCCAGACACTGGAACTCCTCCTGCCTGTCCTCTAGGACGTCCGTGCCAAGAGCACACTCACCCCCGACGGACGGAGGACAGACAGACGCAGACTCAGCAACAAGACAAGCAGCGTAGTCTAGACGACAGCGAGCAGCAAAGTCGACGAGCTCAGCGACAAGAGCAGACGCAGCAGCGGACTCAAAAGAGGGGTCAGTGACGACACTAGCAAGCAGACGCTTGACAGTAGGACTGGCAGCACGAAGGGAGTCCGACTCTGGGTCGGTAAGCACAGGAAGGGAGGACTCACGAGGAGAAGGCAAAAGGGCACGCAGAGGAGCAGTGGACGGACGCAGAGACATCCGGTGCGTGCTAGGGACAGGAGGAGGACGCTGACGCGAACCACGACCACTAGCCTGGGTAGCACGAACAGGCGACGCGGGACGAGACGCAGGCTCACGACGCTCAGCAAGACCTCCAGTAGGACCAGTGTAAGGAGAGGGAGCAGGCAGTGGGGAGGTAGGCTCCAACAGTGACTGCGACTGGACAGGCTGTGGACACTCTGTCGGAGGAGAAAGACCAAGAACCTGCTGCAGAAGCGGAACGAAGTACGGCCGAGGCCGCGCGGCAGCTCCAGACGCAGCAGGGACAGCACCAGCACCCTCAGCGGCAACACCAGCGCCACCAACACCTCCAGCGGCAGTACCTCCAGCAGTACTAGCAGCAGAACCACCGTCAGGACAGACAGCAGCAGACTCAGCACCAACGCCCTCAGCAGCCCCAGCTCCAGTAGGACCCGCAGGCGTAGCACCTCCGGGACGGGCGGCACCAGCACCCTCGACGGTCGAAGAAGCTCCAGCTCCAGCAGTACGCCTCCAGCGGCGTGCAAACCACTCGTGCAGCTCCTGTGGAGAGAGGGGCTCCCGCCGAGACGCAGCACCAGGAGAAACCCCAGGCTCAGCGGCTCCAGACGTAGCACCCCCAGGCTCAGCAGCTCCAGACTCAGCACCCCAAGGCTCAGCAGCTCCAGACTCAGCACCCCCAGGCTCAGCAGCTCCAGCTCCAGTAGGACCTGCAGACCCAGCAGCTCCGGGACCGGCAGCACCAGCACCCTCAGCAGTCGAAGGAGCTCCAGCTCCAGTAGCACGCCTCCAGCGGCGAGCAAACCACTCGCGCAGCTCCTGTGGAGAGAGCGGCTCCCACCGAGACGGAGCAAACGGAGAGCCCCCAGGTCCAGCAGTCGCAGGCTCAGCACCCCAAGGCTCTGCAGCTCCTGACGTAGCACCCCCCGGCTCAGCACCCCCAGCAGCAGCACCCCCAAGCTCAGCACCCCCCGGCCTCGCACCCCCAGCAGCAGCACCCCCAAGCTCAGCACCCGCAGGCGTAGCACCCCCAGACTCTGCACCCGCAGCAGGACCAGACTCAGCAGCAACCTCGACTGGCTCGACTGTGTCTACCTGGGACACACCTGAGGGGGCAGGAACCTGAGGGGGGAGGGGGTCTACCCGGGGCGGAACTGGCACCAGGAAGTCCGGTGGGGGGGGGAGGGAAGGAGTAAGGTAGGGGAAGAGGCGGTAGAAGGGGACTGACTCGTCGAACGTTACGTCCTGGGAGGACAGAACACGACGAGAGGAGGGGTGGTAGAACTGCCACCCTGGAGCGTCAGGGGGGAAGCCAAGGAAGACACAGGGAGCAGCATGGGGGGACAGCTTGTCCGCAGACAAGTCGCGGACAAACGCCCGAGATCCCCAGACACGGAACGCAGACGCATCGCCGACCTTCCCCGTCCACAGTAACACTGGGGACATCGCGGGCCGAGAGACCCTGGGGTGAAGGTTGAGCTGATGCGCCGTGTACCGAACCGCAAACGGCCACATAAAATGGGGGGCAGCCGCATGCATCATGGACGTACAAGCGACATCCATGACCATGCCAATGCGGCGCTCAGCAATCCCATTTTGCTGTGGAGAGTCCGGAAGCGTAAAGGTCTGGCGGATCCCCTGTGCACGACAGAAGTCTCGCAGAAGGCGAGAGGAGAACTCCCCACCTCGGTCAGAGTGCAGACGCAGAACAGGAAAGTCCGAGCCGAAGCTCCTCCTGAGCTGGAGACGAGCCTCGCGGATCCAGTCAATTAGCACCTCAGTGACAGCACCCTTGCTGCGCAAGGGGAAGACTGTGGTGTAACGCGAGTAGTCGTCAACCACCAACAGGAAGTAGCGCTCGTGACCCTGCCCACGGACGGGGGCCGGGCCCCACACGTCCATGTGAAGTGTCTGCAGAGGAGCCTCTGTCGGGGGAAACTGGGAGGAGTGAAGAGCAGCCCTGAGGCGCCCCTCGACACAGGGGACAGAGGAAGGTCCTGGTCCCGAAGGAAGGGGAGGGAGAGACTGGGGAAGACCAGAGACAAGGACACGGGAAGCCATGCCCCGAAGACGGGGCAAGGAGGGGTGGCCAAGACGGTGGTGCCACAGGAGAGTCTCGTGAGACAGGAGGCGACACGAACAGGGGGCAGACTCAGGACCAGACCTGGACGCAGCAGCAAACACCTGACCTGACGCTGCTACCTGACCGGACGCAGGGACAGGAGGAGACTCAGTGGTCAGGGTGTAGAGGCTCGACCCCGGCCGACGCGAGAACGTGGCCAGGTGCCGGCCTGTGCGTGCGTCCGTGCAGTGGGTCACCCGCTGACTCGCAGGAGTGAACTGGTGAACCCCCGCATCCTGCAGGTCTGCACCACTCACCAAGTTCGTCGAGAACGAGGGGAGGTACAGGCCAGACAGGGTGCCCGAGGGGGCAGCCGGACACGGGAGGACAGTGGAAAAGCGAGAGAGGACAGGACCCCCTGAGGGGTCAGCCAGGG